CATCTACAGACGGACGGACGGACATGCATAAATCGACTCAGAAAGTGATTCTATGCATATTCTCAAAAGGAACCATGGGTCTATATCGTTTCCTGTTACAAACATATCGAGCCATATTCGCCAAAAAAACTTAACCCGCAAATTTGAAATTTAACAGGAGATGGTTTGTTTTAAATAAGTCAGGTTTATTCATATTTAGAACTACAGTTTAAAACAAAACTAGTTCATAACACAACTATAGTTCTTAATTTCAAAATAATAGCTTTATTAAATTTGAATTTATTAAAACAAACCTTCTCCTGTAAATTTGAGGGTTAAGTTTTTTTTTTGCGAATATGGCTCGATATGCACAAAGACACTGTGGTACAGGGTATTGCCACACTGTGTTATGTTGGCTTGGCCCATAATAAATTCACTATAGCTTACCAACATAGTTCTGTAGGGTATTCAACAGAACTGAAACAAAACAAAACCAGTGAGCGGAGCAGTATAGTCGGACGGGGCCGACCATACGATACCCTACACAACGTCCATGAAAATCTAACTTTCTGTGGTTCTATATTCTGAGATTGGGCAATATTTCTCGATATTTGCACACTTTTGACTGGCTAGAGGTCAGCAAATGTTACTAATAATCAGTACAGCCCCTCTACATACTTGTCCAGATTCCCTTCACCATGGGTTGTGTTGTGATGTTCGGCTTTCGACTCAAAAAGTACAAATAATTAACTTTTCGGTCCACTTCATCCGAAAAATTATTATCTGATCATCACCTAACATTTTAGGCCTTTTCCTTGACCATAACTGGAACCTCATGGAATATTTCAAAGCGATCCACGCTATATTTCAGCCCTCCAGTGTGGTAATAGGTTATTAAATAATATCTGAATACGTAAACACCTGTAAATATTTAAGTGTAACTCCCGCATCCGAGTACCTACGACAATATAATTGGTATCAATTAAAAGATCAACCACTCCTCTTGGATATACTATCAACATCTCGGGTCTACGTCCTTCAGTGGTAAATATATACGCTATAGAATACAAATGTTGTCATTTTTCACACAAAAGTTAGGGTCCATTTGACCCGCTAAATGTTGACCGATCTTTATCAAAACAGGCATGCTTATTCTCTGGCCCGATCCGCTTCTCCATGCAAAACTTCGCGGTGTTTGGGCCATAATTGCGGCCTCTGGAGCGACCAGAAAAACCGACAAAAATAAAGTTTTTGGTCCATTTCATCCCCTAACTATTAACCGATCTTTACCAAAAACAATAGAGGTCTTCATTGGCCAGAACCCATCGTACATGCACAATTTCGTGAAGATTGGTCCATAACTGTGGCCTGTATCGTGTTTACAAATTATAATGGACAGACGGACGGACACACATGTCTAGATCGACTCAGCTAGTCGAGATATGACGATCGGTATACTTAAAGGTGGCTCTAGGACCAATATTTCGCGGCGTTACAAACTCTTGGGGCTGCACAAAGCTTTAATACCCTGACAACATAGTTGTGTAGGGTATAATTAAGATTTTAACGTCACATTGTTGCTACTGAAATATGAATGAAGCTATTGAAAACACATAAACATAATTCCATGCATATCAAAAGAAATTTAAATAATAATGGTTGTGATCTCCATTCTCTATTGAAACAAAATACGATAGTCATTCTTGATGATCGTCGCAAATTTCGAAATACATAATTAAAGAAAAGACTAGAAGAATTTCTATATATTCAAGGTTTTTACATGAATATCGAATAGTCATTTGTTAATCCGAGAAAGAGTAGTCCATTATAAATTTGATATCGTTAAACGAAATTATGAGTAAATTTGTAGTTTTGATATTTTATGGTCTATTAGTAGGCCTATTTTGCAATGCCGCAAATTGTGAAGAAGTTCAGGAATTGGAAAATATTCAAGGTGAAAATGTTGCTGCTGATACTGATGTGTTGACAAACAGCCATGCGGATTTGCCAATTTTAGAACCACAAGTTCGCCATAGACGTCAAGTGTTCGTTGGTATCTATCCACCCCCGGTACCTTATTATGGTGTAGGAGGCATCTATGGAGGTGGTTTTTACGGAGGCGGTGGTGGAGGTTTTTACCGACGCGGATTTTATGGTCGTCGTAGTTTCCGTCGTTTCGGTGGACGTCGTCGTTTTTATGGTTAAAATGTTATTAGGTTAAGAGAAATTATTCCTAAATTAAATTATAAGGTAGTTATTTATTTAAACAATAAAAATGTATAAATGTTTTTGTTTTGTTTGGGTCTACATATTTCCAAGTCTATAGACTTGGAAATATTGCTACAAGTATATGGACGACATATGTTGACAGACTGGATTGATTTGTTGTAACTTAATAAATACAGCGACGATCTATATGGGCCCACCTGAATTTTGCGTTTTGTGTTATTATATAAATATATTGGATAAAAGATTGAAAGGACGATGGAAATATATGAATATCGATTTTTCGTCTTTGGGGACCCTATCTAAATTCTTTTGATCGAAATTTTTATAGAATATAGGTTATAGGTCTTCTGGAATTTACGGATTAGGAAAATAAGAACGATTTACCGATGGCGCACCACTTACCGATATTCACGAAATTTAATACACATCACTCCAGATTTAATTTAGTGTGCTGTGCCAAATTTTGTGCAAATCGAAAGATATTTAGGGACTTTGGCACACCATTTACCTTGAATCGGACGAAAATATATATGAAAGCTGTATCTAAATCTAAACCGATTTTCACGAAACTTAACATACATCATTCCTGACTTAATTCAATACACTGTGCCAAATTTCGTGCATATCGAAATATATATAGGGACTTTGGTGCACCATTTATCTTAAATCGGACGAAATAATATATGGGAGCTATATCTAACTCTGAACCGATTTCCACGAAACTTAGCACACATCATTCTAGACTTAATTTAGTACGCTACGTTTAATTTCGTGCAAATTGAAAGATATTAAGAGACTTTGGTGCACCATTTATCATAAATCGGACGAAATAATATATGGGAGCTATATCTAATTCCGAACCGATATTTCCCAACTTCAATAGGGCCAAATAAATGAGCTGTGCCAAATTTCATCCAAATCGGATGATAAATGCGACCTGTACTTTGTTTACAATTTAACATCTACAGACGGACGGACGGACATGCATAAATCGACTCAGAAAGTGATTCTATGCATATTCTCAAAAGGAACCATGGGTCTATATCGTTTCCTGTTACAAACATATCGAGCCATATTCGCCAAAAAAACTTAACCCGCAAATTTGAAATTTAACAGGAGATGGTTTGTTTTAAATAAGTCAGGTTTATTCATATTTAGAACTACAGTTTAAAACAAAACTAGTTCATAACACAACTATAGTTCTTAATTTCAAAATAATAGCTTTATTAAATTTGAATTTATTAAAACAAACCTTCTCCTGTAAATTTGAGGGTTAAGTTTTTTTTTTGCGAATATGGCTCGATATGCACAAAGACACTGTGGTACAGGGTATTGCCACACTGTGTTATGTTGGCTTGGCCCATAATAAATTCACTATAGCTTACCAACATAGTTCTGTAGGGTATTCAACAGAACTGAAACAAAACAAAACCAGTGAGCGGAGCAGTATAGTCGGACGGGGCCGACCATACGATACCCTACACAACGTCCATGAAAATCTAACTTTCTGTGGTTCTATATTCTGAGATTGGGCAATATTTCTCGATATTTGCACACTTTTGACTGGCTAGAGGTCAGCAAATGTTACTAATAATCAGTACAGCCCCTCTACATACTTGTCCAGATTCCCTTCACCATGGGTTGTGTTGTGATGTTCGGCTTTCGACTCAAAAAGTACAAATAATTAACTTTTCGGTCCACTTCATCCGAAAAATTATTATCTGATCATCACCTAACATTTTAGGCCTTTTCCTTGACCATAACTGGAACCTCATGGAATATTTCAAAGCGATCCACGCTATATTTCAGCCCTCCAGTGTGGTAATAGGTTATTAAATAATATCTGAATACGTAAACACCTGTAAATATTTAAGTGTAACTCCCGCATCCGAGTACCTACGACAATATAATTGGTATCAATTAAAAGATCAACCACTCCTCTTGGATATACTATCAACATCTCGGGTCTACGTCCTTCAGTGGTAAATATATACGCTATAGAATACAAATGTTGTCATTTTTCACACAAAAGTTAGGGTCCATTTGACCCGCTAAATGTTGACCGATCTTTATCAAAACAGGCATGCTTATTCTCTGGCCCGATCCGCTTCTCCATGCAAAACTTCGCGGTGTTTGGGCCATAATTGCGGCCTCTGGAGCGACCAGAAAAACCGACAAAAATAAAGTTTTTGGTCCATTTCATCCCCTAACTATTAACCGATCTTTACCAAAAACAATAGAGGTCTTCATTGGCCAGAACCCATCGTACATGCACAATTTCGTGAAGATTGGTCCATAACTGTGGCCTGTATCGTGTTTACAAATTATAATGGACAGACGGACGGACACACATGTCTAGATCGACTCAGCTAGTCGAGATATGACGATCGGTATACTTAAAGGTGGCTCTAGGACCAATATTTCGCGGCGTTACAAACTCTTGGGGCTGCACAAAGCTTTAATACCCTGACAACATAGTTGTGTAGGGTATAATTAAGATTTTAACGTCACATTGTTGCTACTGAAATATGAATGAAGCTATTGAAAACACATAAACATAATTCCATGCATATCAAAAGAAATTTAAATAATAATGGTTGTGATCTCCATTCTCTATTGAAACAAAATACGATAGTCATTCTTGATGATCGTCGCAAATTTCGAAATACATAATTAAAGAAAAGACTAGAAGAATTTCTATATATTCAAGGTTTTTACATGAATATCGAATAGTCATTTGTTAATCCGAGAAAGAGTAGTCCATTATAAATTTGATATCGTTAAACGAAATTATGAGTAAATTTGTAGTTTTGATATTTTATGGTCTATTAGTAGGCCTATTTTGCAATGCCGCAAATTGTGAAGAAGTTCAGGAATTGGAAAATATTCAAGGTGAAAATGTTGCTGCTGATACTGATGTGTTGACAAACAGCCATGCGGATTTGCCAATTTTAGAACCACAAGTTCGCCATAGACGTCAAGTGTTCGTTGGTATCTATCCACCCCCGGTACCTTATTATGGTGTAGGAGGCATCTATGGAGGTGGTTTTTACGGAGGCGGTGGTGGAGGTTTTTACCGACGCGGATTTTATGGTCGTCGTAGTTTCCGTCGTTTCGGTGGACGTCGTCGTTTTTATGGTTAAAATGTTATTAGGTTAAGAGAAATTATTCCTAAATTAAATTATAAGGTAGTTATTTATTTAAACAATAAAAATGTATAAATGTTTTTGTTTTGTTTGGGTCTACATATTTCCAAGTCTATAGACTTGGAAATATTGCTACAAGTATATGGACGACATATGTTGACAGACTGGATTGATTTGTTGTAACTTAATAAATACAGCGACGATCTATATGGGCCCACCTGAATTTTGCGTTTTGTGTTATTATAGGGTAGAAAGTCTTCATGTCATATAACTATACATTTCCCATTTTTTAACTAAAGTATTAAGGGTTCCCCAATCTCGGTTTCAAAAAATCTTTTTAAGTTAAGTTTATTTTTCCGTTTGTTACTCATCGAGATAATCATTTCCGATCCTATAAAGTACATACCTTTCTGATCAGCGTAAAATTCTATGTATATCTTTTATATACATAGAATTTACCTCTAAACTCTCAACTCTAGACTTACCAAAATTTTGCATAGAATTGTATTTTGTCTGCAGGCAGGTCAATTTCGAAGATAGGCTATATCGGACCACGTTTAGGCGTAGCCCCCATATTTTGGATATTGTGAGGTTTGTGTTTTTATTAGGTACCAAATCTCCACATTAAAAAGTGTCAATATCGGTCCACTTTTTTGGGCAGCTCACATATAAAGGTACCTTCCAAATTTTGGGGAGGTTTCAACCGAAACAATTTAAATTAGTTATTTCGGATTCCCAATTGCTACGAAATCTCTCTAGTAAAATGATCAATATCGGTCAACTTTAAGGGGTAACGGTGCGCTTAAAATAAGCGGTTGACGATTTTGGAAAAATTTTTATGATCAAATTAGAATTAATTTGGTATGTTGGGTTCTAATTAGGTATCAAATCTTCCCGCCAAAAAGTTGTCAAATATTTTTTTGGGTAGTCCCCATTAATCGGTACGCTCAAGATTTCGTTGTTTAGCCGTTTTGAGTGCATTTTCTACCGAATTCGCTGTAACTTGGTATTTAGGATTCCTATTTGGAAACAATTTTCGTAATAAAAATTATTAATATTCGCCCCCTTTTTGTGGTAGTCCCCATATAATCCCTTTTTATATTAAAATAGTTAACTTATTTGTTTCGTGTGTTGGGGTTGTCCCCATAAAACTGTATTCCACCATAGAATGGGGGATATTCTAAACCCGAAATTGTCGGCTTATATCCTACAGAGTATTCTATGTCGACATAACCATTTCCACCCGACTGTACATATGTTGGATTCATACTAACTTTAGATGATATCAAGGTACAAAATTGAAAGGTCAGGTTCGAAAATGTGCTATAATGGTCCACATTTAGGCATAGCCCCTAACTCCCAATTTCTTACTAGGGGTTTTCAATCGTGGTCTCCTTTTTGGTATAGCCATTTAAATGTCAGTATTTTGATGATTTTAGACACGCGTTATCAAGATCGGCCCACGGCGTTTTTTGCTAATTTATTTTTGTTTTTGCCGAATAGTCAGGCTGAATCCCAGTTTGTTGTTTTTATAAAAAAACTATTTATTAGTGGGGAATGCATGGCATTGTTCGCAGAGGGGTAAGGCAGGGAAGACTATATTTTCGGATAACGCCACTGATCCTCATAAGTTCCCTTAGTAATACACTTCACCACACTGTGGTACAGGGTATTATGTCTTTGTGCATATTTTTGTAACAGGCAAAAATAATGGAGATAGACCCATGGTTCCTTTTGAGAATATGCATAGAATCACTTTCTGAGTCGATTTATGCATGTCCGTCTGTCCGTCCATGTATTTTTGTTAACAAAGTACAGGTCGCATTTATGATCCGATTTGGATGAAATTTGGCACAGATCACTTAATTGGCCCAAGGACGAACCCTATTGAAATTGGAGAAAATCGGTCCACGTTTAGACATACCTCCCATATAAGGGTACCCCCAAATTTTCGGTATTTTGAGGTTCTTGAGCGCGTTTTTTAACTGAATTCGCTGAAATTTAGTACTCTGAGTTCTTATTGGGTAGCAAATCTCCCAACCAAAAATTATAAATAAAGGTCAATTTTTTCGGATAACCCCAATATAAGATTACCCCCAATTTTCGGTATTTTGGGGGTTTTGATCGCATTTTTTTACCGAATTCACTGAAATTTGGTACATTGTGTTCCTATTGGGTAGCAAATCTCCCTACCAAAAATTATAAATAAAGGTCCATTTTTTCTAATAGCCCCCATATAAGGGTACCCCCAAATTTTCGGTATTTTGGGGCTTTTGATCGCATTTTTCAACCGAATTCGTTGAAATTTGGTACTTTGAGTTCTTATTGGGTAGCAAATCTCCCTACCAAAAATTATAAATAAAGGTCAATTTTTCGGAAGGCCCCCATATAAGGGTACCCCCAATTTTCCGTATTTTCGGGTTCTTGGGCTCGTTTTATAACTGAATTCTCTGAAATTTTGTACATTGGGTTCTTATTGGATACCAAATTACTCCACTAAAAATTATAAATATAGGTCCAGTTTTTCTGGTAGTCCCCATATAACGGTACCCCCAAATTTTTGGTATTTTGAGGTTCTTGAACCAAATTCTTTTTATACCCTTCACCACACTGTGGTACAAGGAATTATGTCTTTGTACATAAGTTTGTAACAGGCAAAAGGAAACGAGACAGACACATGGTTCCTTTTGAGAATATGCATAGAATCAGCGTAACAAATTAGGTCTAGAATTATGTGTGTTAAGTTTCCTGAAAATCGGTTCAGATTTATATATAGTTCACATATATATTTTCGTCCGATTTAATGTAAATGGTACATCAAAGTCCCTATATATCTTTTAATTTGCACGAAATTTGGCACAGCGTAATGAATTATCTCTAGAAAGATGTATGTTAAGTTTCCTGAAAATCGGTTCGGATTTAGATATAGCTCCCATATATATTTTCGTCCGATTTAATGTAAATGGTGCACCAAATTCCCTTAATATCTTTCGGTTTGGACTAAATTTGGCACAGCGTAATGAATTAGGTCTAGATGTGTGTTAACTTTTCTGAAATCGGTTCAGATTTAGATATAGCTTCTATATCTGACCAAATGAACAATTTAGTATCGGTTGCAGAATGGCGTGTTTATGGTTCCAATTTCATTTTACTGGTCCTTTAAAAATGCGACGTCTGTTAGGATTCATCTGTTGAATATACCCAAAGTGGTGAAGGGTATCATATAGTCGGCTCGTCCGACTTTACTACTTTCTTTACTGGTTTTTTGTTGGGATATTCTCCCCATTGGTTATATATATTGTATATTGCCATTACCATTTGTATTTTTTTTTTGGAAAATAGTCAGGCTGAGTCCCAATTTGTTGTTTTTATAAAAAGCCTGACTATTGTGCAAAAACTAAATACAAATGGTATCCCAAATAAACCGTCAATGTGATAGTCATACACCGGCTAGTCATCACGGCTGCAATGTTTTCATCGATCATTGACATTTTGCCTTATTTAAACGGCTTATACCAGAATTGAACTTGTGTCCTGTACATGGTAGACTCGTCAAAATGTCCTTGCGAATTTAATTTTATTTTCTTTATCCAGAACTTAGCACGACTAACATATTACAAAGGAATACAAGTAAAAATGTAGTAAGCAAAAATTAGACGGGACCTATTTTCTGGTGAGTGCTATTTCCTTTACCAAGGACCCAGTATTCCTTTTCTTTCTCTTGGGAGCAAATGACTTTCAGAAAGCATTGCCATCTTACCCGATTAGTCATTGTCTTAATTTCGTTTCATTGATTTTAATCCAAGTAAGTAAATTATTGATCTGATGTATCCTATCTTCGATGATGTTAGGTTTTGTTTAAGTTGGGATTCTTGCTTATTTAGTGTTTTCATGATCATAGGCCAAATATTACCGGAGTCGTAAATTATTTCATACTATACAAATATTACCAAGTATATGATCGATTTACTTTATGTCGCACGCGACACCTGATTGGAAATGGTTAATTTTAGTCCAAATCACATGTTTCCAATTTTAAGATTTTAAATTTTTGAATTTTTTTACAAAATTTTACGATATCCTTAACGTATTTGTTTTATAGGACTGGTGCTGCAACTAGACCTATTCCATCTAGGAACTTGTGAATATTCTAAACACTAACGTGTTTATCATCTTGGCAGCTAATTTTGGTGTTCTAAACTCCAAATCTCTTTTAAGGGGACCCCCCATTCTCGGGGACAAAATTTTTGTTGATATAATTCGAATCTACACTGATTAAAGAATGTCTCTACAAAATTTCAAGTGAAAATCTCAAGAACTCTTGAAGATATATCCGATTTATTGTGTCAGCATCAAGTGACGGCTGAAGGGCTTCTCAAACTTTTTTTTCTCTAAACATTTTTTTGCGAATGGCGGGCACTATAACTCAAAAACTAATAACCCAATCGATTCCAAATTTTTAAACGTTTCTCTGTGAGTGTATAGCTATCGTATGAACTAGGATAAAGCCAATCGGCGAAGATCTTCCTTATTTTTTAACTTGGTTTTTTAAAAAATCGGCGATTTTCCAAAAATATTTTTTCAAAGGTCCACCATTTTGTTAATTTTAGAGCGAAGTCAATAATCCTAGCTCATACGAGAGCTAGACATATACTCTTTCTAACACCGTTGGAATTTTCGGATTCCGATGTCCCAGTGAGGAGTTATCATGCCCGCCATCAAAAATAAGGACTTTTCTTTAATTACAAAAAACAACAACAAAACAATAACAAAATTTTTTTGTAAATTATTTTTCTTCTCTTTTAAATCTTCAAATATATATGTCCAAAGTTACAAACCTTAACAAGCATTGGTATTGATTTACCAGCCCATTGAAAATCTTAAAATATTGAGCATAAACAATTTTGATAAACCAGATGTGATCAATTTCGATGATATATTTTGTCTTTTACCAACAATTTGTACAATATTATGCACTATTTTTTAAGTATTTAGCT